GGGTGGCAGTGGCTGAAGAGAGGGGGGGGGGGACTCAGTCAATACCAGTCAAAGTCGATCTTAATTTGCCCGCTACTGGACAGCAGGTAAACACTCACCATGTCCCTCCTCAGGCTCTGAGGTGCTCGTGGTGGTGATGTCGCTCAGGCCGGACTCATCCGAAGCCTCGGCCTCCGATGAGGTCTCGCACACTATCACCTCACTGGCATCAAAATACTCTGCCATGGATTCTGCCACTGAGGGTGCACGGCGACAGTGACGACCCGTAGACGGTGTTCTCTGTGAGGAAGCACGGAGGAGGAAAGGATTTGTGGTTCAAACTATTGTTGCGTTTTCAAATTAACAGTTTGTACAAAGTAAGAGTCAGGGCCAACAGGCAGGTAGAGTATCAGACACACAGGCATGAGTTGGGCTGATTTTTAGGTTTGATATTAAGCTAAATACTGAACAGGTAATACCAAATTCTACCACTAGGTGTTGTATGTGACAGAATAAAAGCCCATGAATGGGTGGAGTTGCAAGTCAAAGAGTTTTCCATAACATGTTCCTGCAAATGTTAAATAAAAGCCTTGTTAATAAATGAAGACTTTCTGTCCATGGAAAGGCTAGATGGCTTTTAATTTGAAATGGATAAAAAGTGATGAGTTTGTATTAAAAAGTCTTACATGTATGCTGTTAGACCATTATGAAAGCAATAAGAGCTATTTTCCATCCATACTGACAAAAATAAAAAAAAATAAAAAAAACTGTATAAAAAGGGAAATCAATATTGCTTCCATCTGGGTTGCATTTTGTAGCTGTTACAGCAAAAGAAAGATCAAAACAAAGACTGAAAAATGCAACTTTATAAAAAGTGCATCATTTTATTAATCCTGTCAAAACGTGTCAGAATCACGTTTAACTGTTTAAGATATATTCAAATGATTGGATTTTAGACTTCAAACCCTGCCAACAACCTGCTCCCTTTTAATCTGCTATGCTACTCACTGTACTGACAAACATAGCTGGCTAGCTACCTTGCTAACGCAGCAAAAGATGTGATAAGCATGTGTAACATGACAGTTGTCAGGGACAGGTTTAATCAGAATTATACTAAAAAGGGAAAATGATGGGGTCATTTTCTTTAAAATTCCAGCAATGCATTTCACAAACGAGTTAGCAACTACTGTGAAGACTGAACTCCACACCACCGTCTGCTCAGCTGTGGTGTGTAACGTTACTCTGATACACTAAAGGGCTGACATTGCTGAGAGCTGCTTCTCGTCTAATTAGCCTGAATAGTTGACTTGGTTTGCATAAAGTTAAACTGGATTAAGCTTGTATACCGTACCGGTCCAATAAAACCGGACGCGGACCCAACCCTAATTTCACAGACACATTCAGAGTTGAAGTACCCATTGGTGGCACCCACAAAATGTCTCCACATATTGTCTTGATGTGTCCGAATAGCACGAAGTGAACTAACCTGAGCCATTCCAACCACACGACAACACTGTCATTCATTTGTATTTTGTCCACTTTGTGCTCTGCTGTGATACAACAGCTTCTGAAAAATTATTTGATCCACTAATTCCATATGCAGGATGATAATGGTTGCAAATGAGTGACAGTGAGTCAATGACATTGAGACTCACCAAAAGACTGTTTCACACACACCAGCACACAACACAGTACACACCTGGTCAGGACGGACGGTGCAGAAGGATTCCTCAGTAGAGTCAGAGGACAAGGAAAGCGAGTGGACTTTGGTCAGACGTGACTGTATGTCAAGCTAAACACACATGCATGGACATGCACACGTACACAGACCAGCCATGCAAGACACAACAAGACAGAGGATCAAACATAAATGGTCACAATGTCATGCAGACTCCAGACTGTAAGCAGGACCAGAGGACAAAGCTGCATCTTTGTTGTGGTCTACAGCTATCAATTACGTCTTTTACTAAAAGTCACTGAAAGTGCCTAAACTATTTTAGCAGGTTAGTTCTCCACCAATTAGGTTTAATAAATAGGAAAACATTGTCAGGTTTTATGGACAAAATCTCAAACACCTTATATAAACGGTTTTCACAGGCTGGTACTAAGCACGAGGAGTAAACTCATTAATATGTCAAATTGGTGGAGTTCTCCTTTGAAAATCACCCAATCAATAAGTTCAACAATTCCACAGAGTTATTTATTCCAACTCTCTTCTCAATGCTGAGAAAATTATCTGAATTCTTGACTGTTGTGAAAATGCAGGGTGACAGTCAGCTGCCAGGCAACCAAAGACAAATAAAGACCAAAGTCACAACAACCGATGTCCCAGTGGTTGAAAAACATACAACATGGACAGAAAACAGACAGCCAAGAAGAAACCTCATGCAACACCAAACAGGAAGGATTACTGAGCGCCGGCAGTTTGACAGCAGGAATTAATGAGTCCCTAGACTGACAAGGCTCAGTTTCAGTGTGGGACAACAATCGTGCTGTTTGTGTCTTTGTGTGTGTGCGGAAATGGAGGAGAGAAAGAGGTGTGTTCCTTCAGGTCGCGCCTGTGATAACTTGTGTCTGTCCTGCCTAGAAACAACCCAAACCTGCTTAACAGTTTCACACAGCACCTCACCAACAGACAGCGAGGGCTTGGCCTCCATTGTCTCTTTGCAGACCGATACTAATATTTTGTGCCTATAAATCAGTATTTTAATTTTTTTTTTAACTCTAGGAGAAAGAGAAAAGAAGTGAACAGTGAAAGAGGATTAGGAACTACTACATTCATGTCAGTCAGTCTTTGTTGTCATTCAATTTTCAGCTTCAGGACGAATAAGGATCTTTTTGAGTTTTGTTTCTGTTTGTGTGTCTGTGTGTGTGTGTGTATGGGGCTGAGTGTGTTACCTCAGACAGTGTGGTGCACAGTGTAGCGAGCTGCTGTGAGGTGTTTTGCCTCAGGTCCGGAGCGGTCCAGGCCTGCCTAACTCTCTCCCTCTCCAAGGTCAAAACATCGTGAATGGACTTGAGAGAAGTGTGAACTACAACACAGAAAGCATGAATTACAAGTTCAGTTTATGAACATTTGATGCTACCTGTAATAAAGAGTAGAAATGTAAGTCATTGGGTTAGAGCATTTTTAACTTTTAAAATTAAGTTCAGTTTATAAAAATGTCAAAAAACACACTGACTATTGTTAATCAAAACCTAAAGACACACCTTGTTGAAATGGTTAATTCTGACTGGTTTTTGCTTACATTTATATAATTGAAATCAAAGTTGTCACTTTTTCAATTTCTGTTGATTACTCAGTTATTTAATGAGATGCGAATCAGAACATTAACATAGCAGCGAACTATTTGCTATGTAAAGATATAGTGGAGTCATGGTGTCCTGAGCAATTCTATCACACCTATTTAAACCTAACCAGAGTTTGTGATTGATGGAACAAACAAGGTGGTTTTGGTGAGTTTTATTTGGTTTCTGTCCACTTTAAATTAAGTTACAATGATATGCAAGCAAGTTTTTGTCTATTGAGTCTGGTGGCAATATGTAGGGATCCTTCCCATAATGTTATCAGACACTGACAACAATCTGAGTCTGTCAGTGACAAAAACAAGCTTCAGTGGATGTACTTTCACAGGCACATTTATCCCCAAGGAATAATAGATCTGCCTGTTTTGCGGCGGTAGTGCCCACTGTTTTGGTCTAAGATGCTGGTGCTCTAGTGCAACATCTAGCCTTAACTCAAAACTAGCTCAATTAAAGCTAATCACAGAAATACATGTGTTAGGTGGGGGGCCGTACCCCTCTGAGAAGCAGTGCAGATGTCATGGTGAAGCTTCTTGGCCTCGGGTGAGGTGACCTGAGGGTTGGACAGCTGGGAGTAGACGTAGCCAGGGATGGATTGAACGGATGATCCCAAACCAGAGCTGTTGTTAGTGCTCAAGTGGCTGGAAGTGAACTGGAGAAGACAAAGAGAAGAGCAATGTAATGTGTTACACTGAAACAACTTGTTGAATGGAGGATGTTTAAAATTTTGATGAATCCAAACCCTGAATAAGAGTTTAAAGTGAGTCTTACCAATCCCCCCATGGCTTCAACACGGGACAAAGTCCTGGAGTGACCAACCCCTTTCCCCACTTTCCTTTTGGGTTTCTCCAGGGAGAGATTCTAAAACAGAGACCATCAGGGTTTATAGCTTCTTTCCAGACACAAAAGTACATTATCCTATTGCTGAATGTTCATTTGTATTTTAATCTATTTTACAGAACACGTAGTTAAAAGAAGACTATAGTATTGGATTAGATACCATACAAGTGATCTCAGGCTTCTGTTTTAATATTTCCAACACATTCACAGTTGTTACTAGAGTTCTCACCTGCATGCTGATCCGCATCTCCAGGTCTGTGTTTGTGATTGGCAGCCCTCCTTCCAGCCAATGCAGTCGCTGGATGAGCTGAGCCAGCTCTGTCAGCTCTGCCTGGCAGCGAGCCAGGTCTGACAAACAGGGGGTCAAAGGTCACAGTTAACAAATTAGGAGAACACACACACACACACACACACACGGGAACATATTCAAAAATGTGTCTATCAAAGACAGTGAAGATCACATCAACAAATGTTTATTTTCTGTATCCATGCATACATTCTGTCACTATTAAATATGAAATATGACTGAACCAGACTACTACTACAGATTACAGGTGATTCTTACCGTTAGAGGTTGCATCGATGTCGTGGGTCTGCTGCAGCCATGCTGACACCTTGCTGGTCACCCCTGGGTGAGAAGCAACGGCAGGGGGGGGGCTTCCCATCTCTTGTTGGTACACTGATGCTGAGCTGGCGTACTGAGAAGGCTGGACCACAAACACAGCACAGTTTAAGTCAAGTCCTTAAGTCCTTGTGGGCCACACTGAATAATGCTGGAATGGTTTGTCACTTACTCAGCTAAACGACTGACAAGAATTCAGTCACAACTTTGATATTCAAAAATACCTGCAATTCTCCATCTCATATGATCATATGAAACTGAACACCTTTGTTTTTGGTCAATCAAGACAAGCATTTTAAGAAATACATTTAAAAAATGTTTTTAGATTCAACAATGGATCAAGTAATTGAAAACATAATCGACAGATCTTTTGTACGCGGTAAGAGCGGTATGAATAAGCATACAACATACTGGTGGTTTAAAAAAAACGTGTATAGAGCCCACCTGCCACAATTCTTTGTGCTTTGTTGTTACCATAGAAACAACCCACTAAGGGCACATTTTCATAAGAATGACACAAACCTGGTTTCCCTGCCAGCGGAGGCACTTCATTCAGATGTGTATTTTTTAAAAACAATTTTATGATAAAAAGGTGTGACATTAGCTGCAATCTTTACTGACCATTGCTCTGTTCTTCTGGGCCAGAGTGGCCATGCCTGGCAGGGTGCTCGGGCCCAAGGAGAGAGCGTGAAGGACGCCATGATGAACACTCATTGCCTCGTTTTTCCTAAACACTCTATGAGCACACAGCTTTGTCAGCCAGATGTAGAAGAGTTCATGGCTCTTTGCCTAATGGAGAGGACAGGAGAGAGAGAAAACAACACACAGGAAGAGAGGAGGAGAGAACAATGAAAGTTCAGTTAACATCAGGTTAAAGAATATCCAAACCTTTAGTTGGAAACTTTGGATTCTTCTAGATTTTACTGATAGTGAATTGGATCATGTTGTCTGTGTTCTTAATAATTCTGCAAGCACCTGAGGGGTCCTGAAATCTATCTGAACTGTGTTGTGTCAGTTACCTTGAGGTGGTAGAGGTTGTCTCCAGCATCCAGGTCTATGCGTTTAGATTTCTTGTTGATGGACATGACAGCCAGGCTGACGTCCAGAGAGCCATGGAGTTTCCCTCTCTGAATCTAAAACACAACCACAAAGAGTATTTAAACAGTTTTCATTACCTATTAAGTATGTTTAAATGGCGCTGTTAGCAGCTGCAGTTCTGTTCATGACTTACATCTTGCTGTGTCTTTGAGTACTTCAGAATTCCTTTCTCCAACAGGAAGTATCTCTGCAAAGGACCATTTACAGTGAAGTGTTAGAAACAAAGCAAAGAGGCTTCAGTGGACACTGGTTGGAAGATTGCTTCAGTCTAACCATCATGTTAACTGATGAATAGACAGTGTAGACAAAGCAGAAAAGATGCTGTCGAGGCTGTGCTCACCTTGTGCCAGCCTTTGAGCGGGTACTTCCTCCTCTTCATCAAGTAGCCCTCACAGATCCCGGGGATACTGAGGTCCAGAGATGAGCCAGGAACTGGACCTGTATCCATATGCTGCAAGTCGTCCATCACCTCCCAGTGACGAGACTGACACAGAGGAAACACTTTCATTAGTACCAAATAAACCAAATTACTGGGAAACTTTTTTTGACATACTAAAAACAACACAGTAAAGGGAGATCCTGTTACCTGTTTGGATTGTTTGGAGGACCCTGTGCTGCTGTTCCGTGAGTGGCCGGGTTTGAACGTGCTGGCTGGGGATTTGTCAATGCCGCTGATCACCGACTGGCTGCTGCTCAGAGGGGGCGGACACACCTGAGGGTCCATTGGTAGAATGTGATGAGGGAAGCGTTGCATGAAGTCGAATGACCTTCAGGGCAGGTTGTGTCTCATGGCAAAGTGCGTAGCACTGTGGAAGTAAACAGTACAGTGATAAACCAATCACAAAGACACAAAAGAGTTATGAGTTCAAAGCTCAAACAGAGTGAGACCTTAAAACAAAATGGAAATTCCAATATTTAAAATAACTTTTCTGTGTAACTATAACATTACAAAGACAATGAAACAAGTATGCAAATATATTCTCAGTCTGCTCCAGATACCTTATTGCTAAATTCACCTGTTCATGAAAGCTCGATTAAAACCTCCCATGAATAATCATTAGGTCATAGTTGCATAATTAAAACTGATTTGCAGCAATAAAGGGGAAAACAAACATTTCCACAAGAGAAAGAGAAATTGCGTTCTCCAGCATTGTTTTTCTAGGCCAACGGGTTAACCACTGCAACCAGAAAATCCATGGCACAAACAAATATTTTGCATTCCTCCCATCTTTTAACGCCTCCTGTACCACGTCATTGGGGATGCACAGATACCAGTACTGGTCCAATGCTGTATTGCAATCTTAGAATCTACTTCAACACCACGGCACCAGCTATCACTGTTTGGAGTATGACGTTCACCTCTCGTTAGTTGAACACGTAGGCAGAGGAGAAGCAATTTTAGCTGTTTGCACATATTTTAAGACAAATGATGACAAAGGCAGAGCAGACTGCAAACTAGGCTCTGCTAAACTGTCAAGAGGAAGGATGAAAAGTAGTTTTAGGAGCAGTGAGGAACATCTGATGACAATATATTGTTAGAACTGTAATGGTATTATTAAGCAAAACTCTTCTCTACATGCTCTGAACAATCAGTTATATTACCTATAGTTATATTAAATCATCATCACAGAAAGGACACCTTAAAGGACGCACACACCTAATGTGAAGGTGCTGGTTCAGGAATTCTCTCTGGTGTCTCTAGCAGGGCTGCCACCTAAGAACTGATGTTTCCAGTCATCAGTGGAGAAGCAGCATTTTGTCAGTTGAATCTCTGCATTAACCTTTTACTGGCGTCACTGTACACCAAGCAATGCAGGCTGTGAACTTTACAAACCGAGTCTCAAAACGACCACAAACCACAAAACTGAAGAGTGTTAATGGAGCAGTGTGACGGCAGATTCAACGGCTACAACATGAGACTCATTTAGGCTGATAGAAGTGTTTAGTGTAGCAAGGAACTGGAAAAAAAAAATAAAAAAAAATGGAGGCACATTAAACTGAAACAAAGGAGGCCAGTTATGTTATACAACATCCATCTGCACAGTTACAATATAATACACACATTTATATAGGGGCAGTAAGAGCTACCTTCACCTTATATCAGTGTCTGTAAGTTGCACAGACACTGAAATGCATAATTAGGATGAAACCAGTGTCAACAGGTGGCCCATTGAATTTGTGGTGGCTCTTTCTGCTCCTCTGGAAAAAAACAACACCCCCCCTCCTCCACAACTGCTAGCATTCCCTTTCTCATTCAGCAGGGGAAAAACACACAGAGAAAGTGGAAGTGCTCAATGTTGAAATTCCAGTTGAACATTTTGAGAAGCCTGTCGTCTGCTGCTAGAAGACATCGTCACATGGTGTGTTCAAAGGTCATCGGGATGCAAAAACACAATGCAGAACGGTACATTTTACAACCTTCAGAGATTTTACAATACCGTTGAATCCATTTATACGGTCCTTACTCTGCTAACTTCCCTCGTTATAGCTCAGTGAATTAGGGATTGCAGTCAATGCTGTTTAAAATGTACAATACCATTACATATATCAACAAATATACTGATAACATGTTGTGAAATTCAATGAGACTGATTCTATCCATAGCACCCACTTCGACACTGAGGTCAGAAAAATGAGGATCACTTCCCAAAGCCTAAAGGTGACATCCTCAAGTATCTTGTTGTGTCCATTAACCAACGATATTCAGTTTACTGTCATAGAAGACTACAGAAACCAGAAATGTTCACATTTGAGGCACTGAAATCAGACAATAGGGATTTTTTCCCTCTAAAACAGACTCAAAATGATCCTCATCAATAGTTCATTTAATAGTTGACAACTAATCAATTAATCGACTCATTACAGCTCTACCATGAACATGAATTGTGCACAACTACAATAAGAGGTAATACTGATGAAAACGTAGTAAACAAAACCATAATGCAGCCACACTCACAAACAGGAAAGCACTGGGGCATCAATAACAAATGAAACACACCTGTATTGGTTTGATGTCTATCAAGCAGCTCTCTCAGTAGACCACATGCAATGAATTTAAATTCCCCTCAAAGTTCCAGTTTGAAAGAAGAAGAAAAAAAAAAGAAGGAAATCACACCACAAGAAGAGATGTTCTTGTGAACATTCCTTCAGCATCAAAATGTCCTGTGAGAAACTCCCGTCAGATCTCCTGTGTTAAACTGAGAGCAATGGCACACCTGACTGGTGCTGTGCTCGGCAGGCTGGAGCATATCAAAGCCAGCAGGTATCTGGGCGGGGCTGAAAGTGCAGCAGCACTCTCTACCTGACCCAACAGGTCTGCCAGCTCTGTCAACACGAGGATGACAAGATATGGAACTGATTTGTGCCAAGTTGTAGAAAATCAATTCTGCCTTACAAAAGGCCAACAGTAGCATCCACTGTAACCACTGTAAGCAATTTAAAATGGGTCAAACTTTGTTCAAGGGGCAACATCTCAGGGGAGAAATCAAAAGAGGGAAGCATGGCGGTTGTCTAGTAATCAGAAGTTCCTGGTTGTGTGTGTGTGTGTATATATATATATATATATATATATATATATATATGTGAATTTTGGCATGCGTTATTTAAGCACTATATAAAATGCAGTCCACTTTAAAAATTGTACTTTTGCAGAACTACTTTTGTTAGGAAAGCAGATCAAGAGATAGAAGTAATAATAAATAATTGTTTAAGCTTCTGTCCCAACAGAAGCTTAAACAATGTCAACAAATCACACATGCAAAACTAAACAAACATGTATGTTGTATGTAATGTATCCTAACAAGTAGTGAGTGTGTGCACGTGCGCGTTTAAAGCCTGATGTATGTTCTTCCTCTGCCACAGAGTTCCACTGTTGTCCAAAAACTATTAAAGCCACAGTCAATGAGCCAGGCTGCTGCACGAGGTTACTTGTTCCTTCTTTACCACACCCACACCCACACACCCACACACACACACACACCACCAAATGTGGATTAATCCACCCCTGAAAATAGTCCCTAACAAATGCACCATTTCCTCCTGCTTATTTATTTATTTCTGTCTTCAGTATCTCAATAACAGCAGGTATTTACTTTGTAATGATGGAAGAAAAACGCGCTCAGCCAGCAGCCTAAAGAGTTTGGTTTCAAAATACCACACATTCATTAGGAAAACTACATTTGGATTCAACATTGTATCTTACCGATAGTACAGCATTTAAGTATGGAGTCAAAGTGTATTTTTCACATGGCAGAACAGTACATGCAGCAGCACTGTCTAGCAGCCGGCCGTCAACTGTCACATTTCTGACTTTCTCCATCAACACATGAACACAGCATTACCTCTGGATGACCTGAGCCTTCACAGTGATGGTTTTCACCTCTACATCTTCAAACAAGAGGACTTCGAGAGAAGACAAGGTTATGAAACATCTGGAATTACTTCCTTGTTACCAACCTTCCAGTAAACCGGTTGGTTTTTGGAAGGAGCTTTACTGTACTAGCTGTTGGAACCAAAGAAGAAGAAGCTGGAGGAGAAAACATTCCCTGCATGCTTTGTACTAGTCATCATTATTGTGTGGTTACAGACTCACTGTAAAAAACAATCAACACAAAGTCCAAAGTGGCGTATGCCTGTCTGCTTTGTTATCACATGCCCCTTTCAGTAATGATGTGAAGCCATCAGATTAACACCGATAATCATAGAAGAAACAATGCTGAAAATCATTAGAAATAAAGTCATTTTTCCATTAGTCACTGATGGGATCTGATAATGCAGCTAGTTTTGGTTTTTAGATACCTGTGTGAGATTTCTGATAGCATGTATCTACAGTGCACTGATTGGAATTGTGTTGTGGTAGTCACCGCACTAAAAAAGTATTTCCAAAAATCACTGTCCTGGTTATTCAACATAAATCACAAAGACCTACTTTAAACTCAAACGGTCTGTCACTTGTGTGATTTTTATGGAATGAGACATTGCAGTTGTAGATTCTGAATGCGTTTTTTTCCATTATTTTTTTTTTTTATTATTATTTATTCCACCTGCATTTTGTTGTGGTAAGGGCAGATTAGTCTGTGATCTTGTCCTTAGTTTGGAGACATTTAGTCCCAAAACACAGAAAAGCAAGACAGCAACTTCCGTCACATTGTCTCACATGTTATGGACCTAACAACTAATCAGTTCATCGTGAAAAAAGGTCAACAGATTAATCAATAATGATAATAATCAACAGTTGCAGCCCTAGCCGCATCATACAATGCCATCCTTATCTAATTAGCTGGCTAATCCTGTTAGTGAAATGCTTCCAGGGAGGGCTCACAGTGCCACCACACCAAACTCATCACTGTGGAAGGGTATTTAATACAACGCTGTGCAACACAATGTCTTTATGGCATATCATGGTAGGTAGTGTCACCACTGCTCCAAACTTCTCCACACTTCCTATGATCATTCAACAGAAAGCGTGAAAACTAAATGTATCCACGACAACCACAGCTGTCACTCAGAAACAATACCAATAGCCCCTACTGTAACTGCCCCCCATCTGCTTCTCTTTGGTGGACAGCCACGGTTACAACAATACCCCACAGCTGTGGTCACAATGATGTGTTGAGTCATCAACAAGGCCAGATGAAGACGTTCAGAACAGCTATGAGAAGCATGTGGTCTGACCAGTAAAGCAGAGATAGAGCCGGGGCTGAGATACAGACCAAAGAGCAGCCCTGAGAACATCTGCCTGCAGCAGCTGTACCGTTGGCTGATTTACTGTCAACTCATTCAACAACAGCAAGCAACTCAATTCAAACTAATGCCATGTTTTGCAGCACGACCCTGCTTTTCTTTTAAACCAGCGTGTTCTATGCAAGTCATTGAATGTAGGCCATCATTAAAATGAATTCACTGCCAGTATCATTCTGAACGAGGATTACTTGTAAAGACGTAACTCTGTGAAGTAGAAATACTTTGACAGTAAAACATCTGGCCTGTAGTTCCAACATGAAATGACACAAGAAATGTTTCTCTCTGCAATGGAAGTTAGTCACAAGGTAAAAGGTTGTTTTACGAGCAAAATCATAATGACAGTGAGTTATGAATGTGGACGTGTATTTTAAAACGCTGGGTCTATGCTTAAACATTTATTTTGAAAATGTATACAAAATATCAAGAAAAGCTAAAATAAGGCTACATGTTTTGGGAAATGACTGACACTAACAGAAGGTCATTTTATTTGGCTTCTACATGTAAAACCACTGGTAAAAACATTTTGAGGCATTTTCACCTTGACAAACAGGTTTCTCTGGCTAACGTCGTCTCTCGTGTTTTTTGGTTGTCACCTTTGCCCAAATTTGGATTTCCTGGCTACAAATAATTGGCAGCATGACAGCAAACGACAAACTGAGCTTCAAACTTTTCTTTAGGAACATGCTGATTTCACAGATGCTACAGCCATGGTTTTATTAATGTTTGAACATTTGAACAAAAAATGAAAAGAAATGTATGAGGGAAAATATCCAAGGAAAGAAGACTCCAGGAAACATGTTTTTAAAGACACTTTCCTCTCAGGCATCTTCTCAAGTTATGTCAGTGACTCACCGCAGTGGCACTTTTGATGCTTTGGACTTTGTATTTGCACATAAGGTACATAATATGAAAGGATTTTAGATAGTTAGCAAATAAAAACACAACGATGAGGACATGTGTTCAATCTGAAACCAAGAGTGGATGCCTGTTATCACAACATGTGATTCCATGTGTGTAATTTGGAAACGTAACATCGAAACATTCAGAGCGATATTAGACCGGAGTTGGTTCTGTTGTTGCTTCCAGTATGGAGCTGCGGTGTTGTGATGATGCAATGACCTAGCAGCATCCAATCACTAACAGATTTCCAAGGTCAGCCAAGGAGCAGGGAGACGTGACATCAGGCAAAAGAGAAGAAGAACCTCCCGTGAATAATAGTAGCAATGGGAACCAACCTGAGCAGAGTCCATCAACAGATGCAGATGGTATCTTGGTGTGTGATTAAAGTGTCCAGAACAATGTGTTCTCTCTCATTCATGTCTATGTGATGTCACTGCAGTCAGAGCCAAGAACCTGAACAGACTGGTTCTCCCTCTCGCCTCCCTATCCTCCATCTTCCACTCCCTCATTCCAGGAACGTTCCAGAGCAACATGCACAGGCTGTTTGGCCACATGTGACTGATGGGAGTTCTCTCCAGGCTCAGAACAGTGTTTACAACCCAAAGTTGCACTTTTGTCCTTATATGTAGGATAAAAGGAAGGTCCAGTGCTGAAGGTCCAGTGTGTACCATTTAGGAGGATCTACTGGCAGGTATGTTATCGTTAGTGAATATAACAACCCTGTTTGTGTTACGTTACGATGAGCCGTGTTTACCTACAGGGGGAGCAGGCCCTCTTCTACTGGGGCCGCCATGCTTCTACAGTAGCCCACATGGCTCTAGATAGTCCCTTCTGCCTATTTCATGGCTACTGCAGTTTCCCCTAAACTCTAGGAAGGCGAGTGGTATTCAGTTGGTTGCAACATATTGCAATCACTGTTTGTATATGATATATGCCATAATAAATGTCTGGAGGGGATCTATGGTGACAGGAAGACAGAGAGTCATCAACGGCAGCCATTAGTGCTGGCATTGTGGCACACAAAGGAATAAAAAAAATACTATTATTATTTGCAGGATCAATTAATTAGCGGGGAATGTTTAATCTCAGTACCTGCTTGTACAAAATGCTAAACCTGTTCACAATCCACACAGAAAAGGTCTATTTTCATTTCTGCACAAAGATTCACTATACTTGGGAATCCACATTTTTATACAAAATGTGTAAATATGTTTGTTGTGTTGGACAAAAAGAGCAAAAGGTTTTATTCGTCTATATTGGGGCCAGAGACGACTGTTAGGAGAGTGTTCTGGAAAAATCTTCTGGCCTTTTGGAAGCAGGTAGGCCTACTGATGGTTAACTGCATCAGATGCTCGGCTGTGATTCTAATGAAATAAATATATATATGCAGCAATAGAAACACACCTTCTCAGTGAGTAGGACTTTTCAGTGTGAATTCAGCAGCAGACAAACCAGATAACACACCCAACATCCAGGCACAGACAGGAGGGTGTGTGAGGAGTGTGTTGTTGGGGACAATTAGTAGGCTTAATAAACAGGTTTGATTCAAGTGAACAACACCCCAAAC